ATGAAAACTTCTCCCTGCTATCTCTGAACTATATGTTTCCAAGGGATATGACAGTTTTGTGTCATTGCCATTTTTGTAAAGGGCATAGCCAAACACTTTCTGAGCATCAATGGAGTCATTAGCACAATCCTCAAGACCTAATTCAATCAACTTGAGATAGCCTCCAGGCTGCAAGAGTTCACCAACAATTCTGTCCGGCTCGCTCAAGTCTCTTTCGATCACATGTACCCGCCGTCCTTCCTACATATTTATCAAGAAGCAAAACTCCTGATCAACTTAAAAGGCCACATAATTACAACTTTGAGCTCCACCAGGACAACAAGATCCGAATGATTAATTAGCCAAACTAATGACAAATACAAACTGCCCCAAAACCAGAGTTTATCAGTGTGAACAAGATTAATATTGACTGCACTATTGGAATTAGCTCGCCATATTAGAGCCAAATCAAAAAGACAAAAAGCAAATAAATTGGCTTTGACAAAATCATCTATTGACTGAATCCTCATTTGTGTGGTTTATTTAAAATGCTAATTAGTTTTACTCTCTTGGACAAATGTTAGTGAGAATCATTTAAAAGCGAGTTTAGGGTTAATAGTAAGATTTATTTATTTTTTCCATGGTTGAAAATGATGCTTCAAGTAATTTTAACTCTGAAATTAAGTTCTAATTAAGGAAAAAACTAACCTGCATGAGGCAATTAACTCTTTTGTAATTATTTTACTTAAAAATATTAATTAAAATTTGTATAATTTTTTCTCAATTTTTTTTTTATAATTTAAAAGAATGAAAAATTAAATTTAAAATTACAATAACTACCCAAAGTAGGAGTTGTGTTACTTTTTTCTTTTTTTTTTTTAAAAAAAAAAGGAGACAACTGGTGGTGGCAAGTCACGTTAATCCACCTCTTCCGAGGACTGAGAAGACTCACAAAAGCATTTCAACCCTTTTGTTACTTTTAAGATTTCATTAAAATGTATTAATTTATTATTTTACCCTTTAATTCTTATGTCTTCTCCAACATGTATAAAAAAGAGGGACACTTTTTGGTATTACTGAAAGTTTCACTAAATTGGTCTTCTTCCTATATTGAGATGAATCAACAAGAAATAAGAAAAACTAGTAAAAAATTGTTTCTTATAGAATATTCAATCGTCTTAAAATAAAAAATAAATAAATAAAAACTAGAAAATGAAGATTATGAAGATAAAGAAAGTGAGAAATAATGATCACCTTCCCAAGAGTGTAAGCAAGAGCAGCACCAGCAACTCCGGCGCCGACAATGACAACATCCGTACTTTTCTCAATCTCCGCCGTCAGAAAAACACCGGTTGCTGAAACATTCGCGATGTCATCGTCCTTCTTGTCGCCGTAGGTGGTGCTTATGAAGACGAAGAAAACAGAACTCAACAAAGAAACCAAGACGCCAGCAAGAACATAATCATAAACCATCTTAATTTAAGTAATTAATCTCTACGATATAGTGTTTTTTTTACGTCTGGAATTTGGTTGTGAATATTTTGATTTGTGAATGTGAAGTGCTTAATGCTTATGATGGGCGCTGAAGGGCAATTATATAGGAATGGGATACTGCAGTTGGTAGGCACCTGCTGCGGTGTTTCGGGTACTTTTTTTTATTGAATGAATTTTTGGTGCTTCTGGTGTTTTTTTATTGAATGTATTTTTGGTATTGTAGTGCTTCTTTTATTGAATGAATTTTTGGTAGTGTGCGGATTATGTGAAAATATTGTGGGATAGAGGACAATGATAAGTCACTTTGGGACAATTTAATGGTGTCACACTCAATCATGCATTATGTTATTTAAAAAGTTTAGCCTTTATATTATATTAAATTGCATTCGGATTGCATTTTGATTACGGCTAATCTTTTTGAATTTACATGTTCAAGTTTTATATAATCATTATATATATACACATATAAGGTCTGTATTAGGAGTTTACACATGTTTTGTTACATATTTTGTTTCTTGTAGTACTCATTTAGTAATTTTTTATTTTTTTAAATTTGAATTGTCTATATTTCAATTCATCACTTATTTATAGTGAAAAAAATAAATGAATACGATTATACAATGAAGGAAAGGGATCCTCTTTGGATCCCTTCCTCCTAATCCACCAAGTTCGGGGATTCGAACCGTTGAAATTTAATTCAACTGCTAAAATTATTATAACTTTTAAAATGACCTCTTATTTGTAGCTGTTGGATCAAATTTCAACGACCCAAACTTTCAAACTTGGTGGATTAGGAGGAAGGGATCCGGATCCCTTTCCTACAATGAAACATTAAATGACTACAATTTAATTTAACGATCATATCGTTTTGAATTTAAGTAATTTTTTATATAAATAATATTTGAAAGAAGACGCACAAAGTAAACAATTAGGTCGTTAAAATACATGAAAATGTTAGAACTTATTAAAATAACACATGAGTGGATTAAAGGTAACATATGACAATGACATAGCATGATGACCGGGTCAAAGAGTGTGGCATTGCCACTGAGACCGCTTGCTTGCACTCCCATTGAGTCTAAGTTTGGTATGAGGGCATTAAGATGACCGACGCATAAAAAATTACGGAAAATTAATTAAAAGAGTTTAAAATTTTTGAGTTTTAATGATAAGGACAAAATAAAAGATAAAGTGAATTGTACCAGGATTGATTTTTTAAATCTTGTATCTTTATTTATAGTAAATTAGGTAGAATTGTTTGTCATCCAAATAATACAATTCTGTAGAGAATGACTCTTCTAGTACCTAAAATACAAGCTACTATGCATGGGCCGGAAGGAGTTAAGGCCTAGGGGGCACATGCCTCACCCATTTTTTTTTCATTAAAAATTACTTCATTAATCATATTAAAATAGTGAAATTTTCTCTTTTAGTTTTTAAATGCCCCTTCTCTCTTTTTTTTCTTCTCCTCGTACTAATGTCTAAACTTTGTTGAGTTGCATAATTGGTTAATTAGTACGAATGAGCATTATATTATCAAAATAATAAATAAAAATAGACAATAGAGTAATAAAATTAGGCATTTTATAGCTATATTTTTCAGCATTTGTAAACATACTATCTTTATCCAAAAAATGAGCTTAAATTTTTTTAAATATTCCCTTTTAATTAAATTTCTGGCTTTGTTCCTAGTATTATGCCACAGAAAAGATGAATTTTTTTAAGAAGTATGATACACACACACGCACACTTTTATTTATGCATATGCACTACGTTCGATAATTTAAAATTTTGTACTTCAGGGTTGACTGTTGATGCATTTCCATAAAGATCCAAAATTTTGTGGTATATTTCTTTTTGAATGCACAAATACAGTTAGGTTGTACAATTTTCTGCTTTTTAGAACTTCTTTTTTCTTTTTCAGGATTTCTGTTTTTAATCCGCATCAGCTCAGGTAATTTACCATTCGCTCCTCCACCTCGCGTGTGTGGTCGCAGTCTCAGATCGAAGCTCCTTCCTCCAGGTAATTGCCCAGTCGCTCCTCCACTCTCTCCCCCTTTCTTTCTCTCTCTCTCTCTCTCTCTCTCTCTAGCCTTCTCTCTAGAATCAATTCAAAGTTGTACAAATCTCCTTTTGATTTTGGGTTTTTATTGAATTTTACTGTTTTACAATTGAAATTTTGTGTGGATTGTAAAGTTTAGAAATTTTTTAGGTAGGTGTTCGCCTTCCAAATTCGTCATGGGTCTCGTGGAAATTTACTTGAACAAGAAATTAATGATTGTGAGTGTGCCACTATTAGTTGCCGTTAGTAGACGGGATTTAAATGATTGAGATTGCACCTTGACTTCTAACCAAGAGATTGTAACGTTAAGTGGAAGTAGCCCAAATCAAGGTTCTTCCCTTGCCTTAATGATAAGGACCAGGGCTGGGTTCGGTTCAAATTGGTTTGGTTCATTTTTTTTGCGATTCGGTTTTATTTCAGTTCGGTTTGGTTAAATTTCGGATATTTTTTTTTTAGAAAAATGAAAAAAAATTGAAAATTATTTTTAAAAATCTAAATATTCACAAGCAGCGGCTGAGGGAAAGTTGAGAGTTCCCAAAGTTCTCTACCTATATACGAATATATGTATGTGCGCGCGCGCGCTTGTATGGCGCTTTATTGATTTGCAAAAGGACCAAAATTGTAGAGAAAATGTTTAACAAATTTGCAAAAGGAATAGATGCTTAGTCTATAACATTTAAAAACGAGACATCTAATTCAAAATGTCCCTTTAAAATGGGTCTCAGAATAGTTTTTGTATTGGCTGAGCACATAGGGCACTAACCCATGGTGTTTAATTTGAGTTATAAGATGACTAAGTACAAAATGACCCAAAAGGCTTACTAACCCATTTTACCAAAAAGAGTTTTTCTACAGAGAAGTTCAAGCTCCATCAAGCTTGAACTCAAAAGAGTAAAATTCCAACTCCTCGTTCCTCCTATCAAAGAAAGAGTGAACTCGCTTTAACTCCACCATTGGGTTCATCTTTCATCTCAAACACTAGGAGGTGTGGAGACTTTTGATAAATTTCTTAAAGGAGAATCTAAACAAATTGAAACCAAGTACTAGCGTTTGGGTGAGAGGCATTGGTAGAACACCTACATAGGCCTTAAACAAAGTTGCTTCCACTTGCCATATCTAGCATTGCACGTTGATTTAATTGTTAGATTTTGTCATGCATGTTACATGTTAAATTTTGAAGTTTCAAGCATTGAAACTCCCTATGAAACACAATAATTCTCATTCATGAACGTGTTATAATATGAATGAACGACATAATTGATATGTCTCACTTCTATAGTAGATTAATAAAAAGCAAATACAAGTGTGATACTTTAATTATAATATGAGTGGACAACATAGTTGAACACCGCCCTAATGAATTCCAAACAAAACATAATGCCTCCAAGATTTTACCCAAGATTTTGTCCATAAGAAAAGTAGTTGAAAGTTGAAGAAACTTGCAAGAGTTGGAAGCCTTCATATGTATAACAAATTAAGTCAAAAATAGATAAAATTGTGTGTAGATTAACTACGAACTGCAAGAGTTTGATACAAGTTTCTTGCAGAACAATGAATGCTAAAAAGGATTGAGGAACATAATTTCTCTGCTTTCTCTCCTAATTTCAGCAATGACCCTCGTCTTGATTTTTAATTTTTGTGAGGACAACTGCTGATTCGATATAAATTAGTTGATCGTAGTGTATACTTCGTGCTTGTTTCGATTTTTGTACGAACGGGTGGAACTCTGTAATATGCCAGCATTGTTGCAGGAAAGAACATTTGTCTAACTCCTTCAGCTTTAATAATTGGGAATATGATTCCTGATGCACTCTGGAAAATGAAAACCGAAACATTAGTTTCATTAAGTAGAAATTCATATTTGTGTCATTTGTAATATGTCTTAAGTAACAAGCTTGCTGATGAGACAATACTGGGAAGATCATCAGTAAACATACCAAAATCAATCGAGCCCCCAACCACAGGCGTTTTGGCGTAGGGAATGGAATCATTAAGCGGCCGACTCCATACACAGCAACAGCAAAGAAATGGAGAAACAGGCTGAGCGGACGAGGATTAAGACCGGAGAGTAGAGATATTGGGCCGTTTGAACAGACGCCTCCGAGGCTCAAATAATCAAAACAAGCTTCACGCATTTCTTGTCTTGCAGGGTCAAGCGACGTACAAAACACCTTGTAAAGGGCACCGGCCAATGTGTTTATGGTAGACGACACAGGCTGCAATGAAATTAATCAATTCCATCAGACACATTTTTAAATGCTTGATAACATGTCAGACTGTCTCATAAGAGAAAAATTTAATTTCATATTGCAACTATGGTTATATACCTTACGCAATGTGTAGAATGATTCGAGATAATCGCACAAAGCAGGTGCATCATTGAAATCACTTAGCGGTCTTAGGAGATCCCTTAGAAGAACAATGTCGAAAAGAGCGACAGTCATTCCTCCTCCGGTTAAAGGATGTCTCATGTTGAATGCATCCCCCAATAAAATTGCACCAGGTGTGGGTTGAGGAGCAGCAGGCATGCTTTTATTTTGCATTGTTCTGATGATTCCTTTATCAACCGCTGCTAGAAAAGCCTTTAAGAGCTGATGGGGAACCTGAAATAAGAAATTCCTCAGATTAGTACCTTTTATTCGAATTGACTGGAAATAGGAACTTAATTAAGTCATGTAAAATAATAGATACCTGAGGAGCCACGACAGTTTTCAAATACTGAGCCATTTCGCCATTAGCTACCGAAGGTACTTTTGTGCCGGGCACATCTACCAAACAACGAACCTCGGTGCTACTAATAGGATAAAACAGGATAGGTGAAGGGTCTCCCAAGATCACATGTCCATGGTTTGCATGAGGAAGCTCACAGTTCTCCAAGATCAATCCGACAAAGCAGGACGGATTTTCAATCTGCAGTATTTAGACAATTTAGGCTTGGTCTCATGAAAGAGCAAACAAATCCATGCTAAAACTTGAAGGAAATGCTCGAGTTTCTAAAGACCGAATAAATTACATTTGGAGAAGAGATAGAGCGGCGCAGATTTGAAAAGCAGCCATCGCATACTATTGTTAGGGGAGCACATGTTCTCATCTCCTCTCCTGCCTTGTTCTTGTACATCACTCCTTGGATGGTGCCCTTTTCTTCAAGAAGTGTAGTAACTGTTCCTTGTTCCAGTTTCACACTGTAGAGAAAACATTGTGATAAGTAAGAGGTACAAAACAGATTACATCAAAACAATCAAAACCAAGAAACATGGAAATGATCTTCGCATCATTATATTCTAAAGGAAAATGGAAATTACGTACTTTGGAAGAGCTGCAGCCCTTTCGCGCATTCTTTGGATGAAACGCCCGTTATGAAAACTTCTCCCTGCTATCTCTGAACTATATGTTTCCAAGGGATATGACAGTTTTGTGTCATTGCCATTTTTGTAAAGGGCATAGCCAAACACTTTCTGAGCATCAATGGAGTCATTAGCACAATCCTCAAGACCTAATTCAATCAACTTGAGATAGCCTCCAGGCTGCAAGAGTTCACCAACAATTCTGTCCGGCTCGCTCAAGTCTCTTTCGATCACATGTACCCGCCGTCCTTCCTACATATTTATCAAGAAGCAAAACTCCTGATCAACTTAAAAGGCCACATAATTACAACTTTGAGCTCCACCAGGACAACAAGATCCGAATGCTTAATTAGCCAAACTAATGACAAATACAAACTGCCCCAAAACCAGAGTTTATCAGTGTGAACAAGATTAATATTGATTACACTATTGGAATTAGCTCGCCATATTAGAGCCAAATCAAAAAGACAAAAAATAAATAAATTGGCTTTGACAAAATCATCTAAAATCCTCATTTATGTAGTTTATTTAAAATGCTAATTAGTTTTACTCTCTTGGACAAATGTTGGTGAGAATCATTTAAAAGCGAGTTTAGGGCTAATAGTCAGATTTATTAATTTTTTTCCCCCGTTGAAAATGATGCTCCAAGTAATTGTAACTCTGAAATTAAGTTCTAATTAAGGAAAAAACTAACTTGTAGCCACAAGTTTACGCATGCGGCAATATTCGATCGTCTTAAAATAAACAAAAATAAATAAAAACTAGAAAATGAAGATTATGAAGATACATAAAGTGAGAAATAATGATCACCTTCCCAAGAGTGTAAGCAAGAGCAGCACCAGCAACTCCAGCACCGACAATGACAACATCCGTACTTTTCTCAATCTCCGGCGTCAGAAAAACACCGGTTGCTGAAACATTCGAGATGTCTTCGTCCTTCTTGTCGCCGTAGGTGGTGTTTATGAAGACAAAGAAAACAGAACTCAACAAAGAAACCAAGACGCCAGCAAGAACATACTCATAAACCATCTTAATTTAAGTTATTAATCTCTACAGTTAGTGCTTTTTTTACGGCTGGAATTTGGTTGTGAATATTTTGATTTGTGAATGTGAAGTGCTTAATGCTTATGCTGGACGCTGAAGGGCAATTATATAGGAATGGGATACTGCAGTTGGTAGGCACCTGCTGCGGTGTTTCGGGTGCTTTTTTTTATTGAATGAATTTTTGGTGCCTCGGGTGTTTTTTTATTGAATGTATTTTTGATACTGTAGTGCTTCTTTTATTGAATGAATTTTTGTTAGTGTGCGGATTATGTGAAAATATTGTGGGATAGAGGACGATGATAGTCACTTTGGGACAATTTAATGGTGTCACACTCAATCATACATTATGTTATATAAAAAATTTAGCCTTTATATTATATTAAATTGCATTCGGATTGCATTTTGATTACGGCTAATCTTTTTCAATTTACATGTTCAAGGTTTATATAATCATTATATATATACATATATAAGGTCTGTATTAGGAGTTTACACATGTTTTGTTACATATTTTGTTTCTTGTAGTTCTCATTTAGTAATTTTTTATTTTTTAAATGCGGATTGTCTATATTTCAATTCATCACTTATTTATAGTGAAAAAAAATAAATGAATAAGATTATACAATGAAGGAAACGGATCATCTCTGGATCTCTTCCTCCTAATCCACCAAGTTCGGGGATTCAAACCGTTGAAATTTAATCCAACCGCTAAAATTATTATATCTTTTAAAGTGGCCTCTTGTTTGTACCTATTAGATCAAATTTCAACGGCTCGGACCTTCAAACTTGGTGGATTAGGAGGAAGCGATCCGAATCGCTTTCCTACAATGAAACATTAAATGACTGCAAGTTAATTTAAAGGTCATACCGTTTTGAATTTAAATAATTTTTTATATAAATAATATTTGAAAGAAGACATACAAAGTAAACAATTAGGTCGTTAAAATACATGAAAATGTTCCGAATGTTATAAAAGGGTTAAAGTTTGAGAGATAACCTTTTAAGTGGTAGGTGCAAGGTAGATGTAAAATGCCACACAAAAACTATAGCACAGACAGATAATAAAAGGCAGAGGAAAATATGATGTTATTGATATTTCTCTCTTGTATTTCTTCTTCATCTATCATCTGTTACATGCGAGTGCTCTATTTATAGAGCAATTCGAACTGATGCAGTTAATGCATCTTGAAAATTAAAATGTACCTCTGACACTTTCATTCAGTATGGGCATTGAAAACTTTGCCCATGCAGATGACTAGCTTTGTGGGCATTCATTGCCAACAGAAGTTTGAGACTTTTCAACACTCCCCCTTGGATGCCCACATATCAACATGAGTTGCCTCGTTAAAACCTTGCTTGGAAAAACCCAGTGGGAAAAAAAAAACCATAGCGAAGGAAAAAGAGTACAACTTTTCCTGGATTGTTGATATAGTGTCAAGTATGCTTATGTTGCCTCGTTAAAACCTTGATAGGAAAAACCCAGTGGGAAAAATCCTAATCGAAGGAAAAAGAGTACAACAAGCATGTATCATGGATACTCCCCCTGATATGTATCTCCCCCTGATTCCGCATTCTTCAAATTTAGCTGTTTGGTAAGTCGACGTAATCCGATGCCTTGCACTAACTTCTGAAATGTGCACTTTGGTAGAGATTTGGTGAACAAGTCTGCCAGATTTTCATTTGAACGGATTTGTCTGACTTCAATAACTTTAGCCTTCTGAAGCTCATGAGCACTGAAAAACTTTGGAGATATGTGTTTAGTCTTATCGCCCTTGATGAATCCTTCCTTCATTTGGGCAACACAGGCTGCATTATCTTCATGGATGACAGTTGGATTGTCTGTCTTCGAAGTTAGACCACATGAATTCCGGATATGATGGATCATTGATCTTAACCAAGAACATTCACGACTTGCTTCATGTAAAGCAAGTATTTCTGAATGATTTGAAGATGTAGCAACTAATGTTTGCTTGGTTGAGCGCCATGAGATTGCTGTATCTCCATTCTTAAACACATATCCAGTTTGTGAGCGTGCTTTATGCGGATCAGAGAGGAAGCCAACATCTGCATATCCAACAAGGACCTGGTCATCTGTGGAGTTCTTTGAGTAGAAGAGACCAATGTCTGTTGTCCCACGAAGGTATCGCAATACATCTTTTATACCCTTCCAATGGCGAATTGTTGGAGCAGAGCTATACCTTGCTAACAAATTAACTGAAAAAGCTATATCTGGTCTAGTACATTGTGCTAAATACAACAAAGCACCTACTGCACTCAAATATGGTACTTATGGACCAAGGACCAGCTCATCATCTTCTTTTGGACGAAATGGATCTTTCTTAATGTCCAAAGAACGAACAACCATTGGCGTGCTTAGTGGATAAGCCTTGTCCATACCAAATCGCTTCAGAATTTTTTCAATGTAAGCTGATTGGTGGACCAAAATTCCACTAGCACAATGCTCGATCTGCAGGCCGAGACAATATTTTGTTTTTCCAAGGTCTTTCATTTCAAATTCGCTTTTCAGATATTCAGCAGTTTTATTGAGCTCTTCAGGAGTCCCAACTAGATTCATATCATCAACATATACTGCCACTATAGCGAATCCAGAATTGGATTTCTTAATGAACACACAAGGGCAAATAACATTGTTGATATACCCTTCTTTGATCAAATACTCACTGAGACGATTATACCACATTCGTCCAGATTGTTTCAGACCATACAATGATCGCCTTAATTTGATCGAGAGCATACCTCGTGGTTTATTACTTGTTTCAGGCAACTTAAGTCCTTCTGGGACTTTCATATAGATGTCAGTATCTAATTCTCCATATAGATACGCAGTGATGACATCCATAAGTCGCATGTCAAGTCTTTCTGAAACCACTAAACTTATTAAGTAACGGAACGTAATTGCGTCCATTACAGGAGAGTATGTCTCCTCATAATCAATTCCAGGTCTTTGAGAAAAACCTTGTGCAACGAGTCGTGCTTTGTATCTTGCGATCTCGTTTTTCTCATTACGTTTCCTTGTGAATACCCATTTGTAACCCACGGGGTTTACGCTAGGCGGGGTTTGGACTACTGGTCCAAAAACATTCCGCTTTTCCAATGAATTTAATTCTGCCTGGATTGCATCTTTCCACTTAGGCCAATCCTGTCTCTGTTTGCATTCATCAACAGAGCGGGGCTCAATATCATCACTTAAGATGATTTCAGTGGCTACTGCAAATGCAAACATATCATCAATGATTATTTCATTCCGATCCCACAATTCATTTGTACATGCATAATTTATGGAGATTTCTTTGCTTTCATGTACTTCTGTCTCTTCAGGGACAGATGTCTCATCAAGGACATTTTCTTTTTCTGGAAGTCCAGAATTATGAATTGTGGATGTATCATTCATTTTCTCTTCCTGAATGATTTCATTTGGATTCAGTTGTGCCCTCGACTTTCTCTTTCGAGGAGCTGAATCTTTTGAACCTGGAGGTCTACCACGCTTCAGGCGTGCACCAGATGAATCATTTGCTGCCACTTTATTTTGTCCAACAGGGACATCAATTCTTGCAGGTGCATTTGCAGCTGGTATATTTGATTTTGTCACTTTCATAGCATCATTAAATGCATCTGGCATTTGATTGGCAATGCTTTGAAGATGAACGATCCTTCTCACTTCATTTTCACATTGAATGTTGCGAGGATCAAAATGAGACAAGGTGGGAACAACCCATGTCAGCTCTTTCCGTTCTTCTGGAACGGTCTTTTCTCCCCCTAACAACGGGAAAATTGTCTCATCAAAATGACAATCAGCAAAACGAGCTGTAAACATATCACCTGTCAAGGGTTCCAAATATCTAATGATAGATGGTGAATCAAAACCCACGTAAATTCCCAGTCTACGCTGAGGTCCCATTTTAGTGCGTTGCAGCGGTGCAATAGGCACATAAACAGCACAACCAAAAACTCGTAAATGGGAAATGTTGGGCTGATGTCCAAACACGAGTTGTACTGAAGAGTATTGATGGTTGGCTATAGGTCTCAATCGAACCAATGATGCAGCATGTAGGATGGCATGTCCCCATGCAGAGACTGGCAATTTGGTTTTCATGAGCAGAGTGCGAGCTATTAACTGAAGCCGCTTAATCAATGCTTCTGCTAAACCATTTTGAGTATGGACATGAGGAACAGGGTGTTCAACATCAATGCCCAATGTCATGCAATAATCATCAAAGGTTTGAGACGTAAATTCACCAGCATTATCAAGTCGGATTGACTTAATAGGATAATCTGGGAACTGTGCTCGTAACTTAATTATTTGAGCAAGAAGTCTCGCAAAGGCTACATTCCGAGTAGACAAGAGACAAACATGTGACCATCGGGTAGATGCATCAACCAAAACCATAAAATATCGAAATGGTCCACATGATGGTTGAATAGGCCCACAAATATCCCCTTGAATTCTTTGCAGAAATGATGGGGATTCAGCATCAACCTTTAGTTGTGATGGTCTAATTACCAACTTCCCTTGAGAACAAGCTTTGCAAGGGTTATCATTTGAGGCAGCAATGTGTCTGCTCACTAATGGATGTCCATTAGAGTTGGTAATGATCCTACGCATCATGGTAGATCCTGGATGACCCAGACGGTCATGCCAAAGCATGTAAACCTTTGAATCAATGAACTTCTGGTTCATGACAGTATGTGATTCAATTGTCCTTATGTATGTATAATATAATCCACTCGACATACCACGCAACTTCTCCAATATACGCTTCTGGGTATCATTGGAGGTAATGCATAGATACTCCACATTTTCTTCACTTTTTGTTTCAATGTGGTATCCATTTAGACGTATGTCTTTGAAACTCAACAAATTTCGAGTAGATCGAGTAGCATACAATGCATTATGTATGGACAATATTGTTCCATTTGGTAACATAATCTGGGCTTGCCCTGAACCTTGAATTACATCTGAAGGTCCTGATATTGTTGTTACCCCTACTCTTGTAGGTATTAAGCTTGAGAAATACTTTCGATCACGAAGTATTGTATGTGTGGTTGCACTGTCTGCAAGACAAATATCTCCACCATTTCTCATGTTCTGAGAATAACCACAGTTTTTATCCATGCTCTCTGAGTAAGAGAATCAGAATTAAAAGCAAGTTATAACAAGAAAATTTACATGCCACTTTTATTGAATCTGAGAATACTACAAGTTCAGCATAATAAAAGTACATTAATGATTCAATCGGACCGATATACATCATTTCCCCTTTCTACAATATAGTCTGAAACATCTAGATGAGTTGTGTTCA